TCTTTTATTTTCACACAATTTATTTTGTACTGATGTTTGCTTTACATCACTGCCCGCCAGCTGTGGTCACTCTCCTCTTCTGCCAGTTCCATTTCTTCTACTGCATAGTAGTCCCACACATCGTCCCTACTATTGTATAAATATGAGAGACATGGTTTGGCAACTACTGACAGAAGCGTCTCCCAGCCTTCCCTGGCAATGCCCCTGAACCCACCTCACTGCCCCTCCCCTGCAGTTAAGCCATACACCAATCCTGCCACCACAGCAATAGCACTAACAACAAGACAGGAGGCAGAGCTAGAGGAAGCAGAATGATCAGGAATAAGAATGAGTACATCAAAGGGATAGCTTAGGTTGACCAAGTTGGAGAGGACAGGTTGAGATGGTTTGGACATGTGCAGCAGAAGGATAGCAGATACTTTGGCCAAATTATGTTGTATATCAGGCTGCCAGGGGGGAGGAAAAGAAGAAGACCTCAGACAAGGTTCATGGGTGTAGTGGCAAATGTCATGCAGAGAGTTTGTTTGACAGAAGATGATGCTAGTGACATAATGAGATGGAGCCACTGTGGTGAACCGTAAAGGGAGCAGGAAAAAGAACAGTGCAAAAATTCAGGTCTTACACTGGGACGCCATTATTCTTGCTAGTGTTAGCTAATACTGAGATTGTAACTTTAGCTTTCTGTCATTTTACTGGCAACATTGAGAATAAGCCATTGTGCCACACAGCTAAGATACAACTGCCTGGTTATTGTTGTTTGACAACTTTAGTGCTTTAGGGCATGCTACTCATTTCTGAGCAGAAATGAGTAGCATGCCAGATTATTTCATCAGCTTCATGGTACTGACTTATGTATGATTTCAAAAGCATTTATTTTAGCCAATATTAAATTATGCAATATACAAATCATTAGCATGTCAATATCCAAGCTGATACCAAATACATCAGATCAAAAGATCTCCAGTTTTCAAATTGATTAGGTTTTATCGCCACTAGGTCAGTATTGTGATCAAGCTTATAGAGTTCCTTCTTTTTTTCGACAGATTGTTCTACAGTACACAGACCAGATGCCCCTCTTCCATTTCTTGCACTAAACCCCAGAAGACACCGAGAGCATTCGTTCTGTTCATCCTGCCTCCACTCAGGAAGAATATTCACATCGCTCCTCATTTACATCAGTACATTCAACACAGCACACCATTCCTTCAAATGGGATGGTACACAGTCCTATTGTGGTGAATGGAGATGCTATGAAACCTTCTACAGTTTCCAAAACCACATCCCTCTTCCTGGCAAACCCTGTTGAGAAAATGTTACTATCAGGATACAGTAAAGACCCCAAAACCAACAAAAACACTTATTTTTACATGGAGCACAAATCAAACCAAACCAGGACACTACAGCAGAAACAAAAAGTGATTCAAGAGTTAAAGTCTGATGACCAAGCAGAGCTACCTCCTCATGCAACCGTGTCGGCTAGAACTCCTGCAGTCCCTCCAGCTCAGATTAGGAGAGCTTCTTTTAGCCAAGTGCCATCTCACATTCCAATAAGAAGAACAAAAAGTGAGGGCCATGCTCGAGGAGATGTAACCTCTGCTAGGTTGGCTCAGTCAGCAGTACCAGAGATCTGTGCAGATGCTACCGTGAATGATTGTTTTTGGAGGAAACTGGAGGCAGGCAACCACCACGGCAGCATATCATCCTCCTCTAGTATCTGTTCAAGTGACACTGCCATTGAAATCTCTCTAACCTGGCCAGAAAGAGTCTCAACAGTCTATCTACAGCCAGCAATACCTGTGACGCTTCCTGGGCCAGCTGCTGTCATCCAGCGTTTGTCTGCGACGATGCAAGAGCAAGTCAAACCTCAATCTTTAGCAAAATGAGTGCCCCAAAGATCAGCTTAATCTCTGTCTTCTGCAGAACCACTGGTAGAGTGAGCCAGCAGAGTGAGTCAAAGGAGCCACACCTGGAGCCAGATCTTCATAGAGGAACTGAAGCAATCTTCATCCCCTCCAGCTATATCCACAACAGCTACAGCTTCTTTGTCCAAATAGCCTTGGAGATCTGACCTCTGATGACATATGGTGCAACTTTGATAGTAAGTACCACAGCATCATCTGCAGTTTCACTGTTAGGCAAACCAAAGACCAATTCCCAAATGGCAGCCCACAGAACTCAGCCAGTCACTTTACAGAACACTTACGGAAGCTGACTGATGTGGAGCCCCTGACTGCTGGAGATTTCGCTTCACGGGTCTAAAGAATTCCCAGAAGAGCAAGGTGATAAGACCCTGGTTCGAGGGACTGCCTCCAGGAGCCAAAGCAGAGTGTGGTACATTACAAACCGGGCCAGGGAGGCCCAGGAAAGACTGAAGCTTCAAAGTGTTCCAGTACAGAGGTGCAAGCTTTAGGCTTACTCTTAGCACTGGTAGTAGCCCCATTGCTTGGGATCCCCGAAGGTGCTTGTTTCATGTCCCAGAGTCCTTGCAGATGCCCTGCACATGCCTCCCCTATACAATCCCAAACCTCCACCGACCCTGAAAACATTACAGTTTCTTTTTTGCTCATTCTCTAAGAACTGGCTGACTTTAAACTGATTGTAAGAGAGAAAGCCTGAAACTAGTATGGAATAAATTTGCTCCAGCAGAAAACTTTTTTATTTTATTTATATTATTAATCTTTTCTTTCTTGTAGAAAAAGCTGCAAATCTTGCAAAATACTGGTCTAAAGAAAGGTGTTTTACCACTTATTAGTAATCCATGAACAATCTGTTTGACATTTAAATGTTGTATATTTTGAACCAATGATGTACATTTTTTGTGCAATCAGGAAACGTCTTGAAAATGTTCAACAAATACTGAAATCTGTTTGCACAAAATGTTAGATATTCTCCAGAATGTGTTTAGTGACAAATACCAGGAATTTTTTTTTTTATGTTGGTTTCGTTGGCTATCATTTGCTCTCATGTTCAAGGGTTTTATTCGTTGTTTCTTTTTTTTTTCTTTTTTTTCTTTTTTTTTACAAATACAGTAGCAATACACGTTTACATGTTTTTCAAAGACGTGTTGTTTTTATTTACTTGAAGTGGAATAACTTACTTTGGCTGTGGTAAAAGTTAGATACTATATGCATTTTTATAAGACCGTTAATCCACTAGCAATATTTTTTAAACTGATGGCATGGTATCATTGTGGAAGATGTGTAGTTCAATGCTAAAAGCCAAGGTTCATCTCATGTTTTTGCTGAAGAAAGGAACGATTCTTAAAGTTCTTCATTTCTCTTTGTGTAGTAGTTACAGTGTAATTTGACCAGGTTTTGCTAACATTCTCATCTGTGGCATGCTGCAGCATTTAGATGCTGTGTTTTGAAGCAGTGCTGTACTACCAAGTTTTAGCCCTTTTATGCTGACTGCATGTCTTTTATGTACTGTAACCTTTATCCGAATCTTGTGCTTTTTTTTGCAAATATATTTTATATGAAAATTAATATTCTAAACACTGTTTTTATCATCTAATGATGATCAAAATGGCATCATGTTTGAAACCCTGCGTTTCCAGTAGTTTGTGATACTAAAATAAGATGAAAATTATGCATTTCAAAGCACGTTTATTCATCAGCATCCTGTATTGTTTGTTTGATTTAGACATTGTGAATTAATGATCTGAATAAATCTTAAGTTAATAATACTGAACATTTCACAGCTCATTTATTTAATTTGTACTTAATCTTGTCTGCAGCCGTCTTAGTTTTTTGACAAAGTCATTAGCTGGGTTAATTCAGCCTTGCACAAGGTGACATGTAAAAGCCCTTGGCCTTGGTTTTGGCAGTGTGCTGGCTTCTCTAATTATGGACTCTGCTTGGGTCTGTGTTTACCAGCCATCACCCCTTTCAACCTTTGGAGGGGAAAAAAAGAACTAGACCCCCTGCAGGAAGACAAAATGTTCCTTGAAGCTTCACAAGAGAGACAAACTTGTTAAGAGATCAGATATTAAAAAGAGACAATACTGTGCTTTTGGACTGGTTTTGGAATCGAGTTGTTGTTTAACTCGGGTTATTTTATTTGTAGCTAAAATATACATTTGCACACAATCATAAAGTTTCTGTTTGGAACACTTCCTAAATTTGGATTTGTGCCTTTTTCCTTGAGACTAGCATTTTCACACTCAAACAACTTTTTTCGTCACAAGTTCCTAGCCAGTGAGTTAGGAAAAGGTCGTGCTTTCTGTAGTAAGGTTAAGACCCTACAATATTAGAGTTAAGACCCTACAAAACACCAACTCTGCTTACCATTTTCCAGAGCTGAGAATCCATGCACTGTTTTCATGGTTTCTCAGGACACTGGCATGTCAGTCAAAGGTTTGTCCATTGTCAGGACTGTGATTTCCAAAGCTGACAGCCACCTCTGGCGAGCTGTCAGACACTGCTAGGCCTCTTTCTCAGCTCTGTAAGACTTTGTGTAGCTCGACATGCTCATTTTAGCGCTGCAGACTCTGCTCCAGCCAGCACACAAATACAAAAGACAGCTTCATTAGGATTCCAAGAGATCTACTGAGTCCCTCTTAAAGCTGTATTTATCTCGACAATTTGGCAAGTTTTGGCCTCTCAACTGAAACCTCCAGGCCCTGTCTAGCCCTTAAGGCCTGAGAGAATGTTTTTTGTCTCACAGAATGAATGAAGTCTTTCCTTTCAAGATGAAATCACTGCCTGTTTTGTACAAATAAATCAGTTTGGTTTGCAGCTTATACGTAGAAATTTTTGAGACAAAGAAACGTGGTAGGGAGTGGGTGTTTGGATAGTTTTAACAAACTGCTGAAGATTAATAAAACATTTGTCCTAGCAAATTAAACAAAGGACATAGCTTCACAGTCACCTCTGTTGCTGTTTTGCAGGAGAGATTGAATTTATGATGACGAATCCCTCATGGTTGGTCAGGAGTGAGAGAAAATTTGATGTGCTCCAAAACAAAATCCCCCTTCCTCTGAGCCACTGGGACATTCCAGTCCATCCATATGTAAAGCTTACTGCACCACCACACTGTTAAGCTCCCAAAACCCTTGACCCATACCCCGCCCTCCTTTGTTGTTAAAGATCCTGTTGTGTAACCGTGCAAAAACACATGGTAACTGTTTAAAAGTCTGAAAATCTAAGACATAAAGTGATTCTGCCTCAGAAAAACACACCCAGCTCTAGGAAATTGGATACCTCTCAAGACTTTGTAGTTTTTTTGGCCCAGCAGTTGTGGGTTTATCTCCCTGTGAGCCCTTATCTCCTCCCTCTCTGTTTCCCATATAAACCCTCCACTACTTTCAGCCGCACTAAGTCTTTTCAGTGGCCTGCTCACAAGATATTTTTAATTTCTTACTCATTTTCTTGGACTCGCCCTGTGTCCACAATCTGTTTCTGCATACTGTACCTGACAGAGCAGAGGTAAGGAAAGAGGTAAGGTTTTTTTTTTCCTTCATGTGCCAAGTAAAAACAACTGCAAAAAAACCTGTTTAAAAGTGTTGTGTCTGCAGATAATTTCAATGTTAAATCAAAGACATCGCTCGTCATAAACATGGTCATGTTTTCACAGAAGTTTAAAGTAGGCTGTGTCATTTACAGGACGGAAACATGAAACTCTGCATGGCTTTATTCGTTTGTGTGGCAGTCCTGACTGCATGGTTCTTTACTGCAGGTAAGAATAATGCTACATCTGAGAGATGTGCAATCAAGGAAATTGCCATTAGTTCATGAGTTGCATTAGATTTCTAAGCAGGTTTTTAATAATGTTACCTATGATCATGAAACCATGATCTCTTCCTCACTCTTACAAAGAAGTTTTGTTACCTGAACCACACCAAACAAAGTCTCAAAAATAAAGCAAAGTCTGAAAATGACAGTTTAACATGGGACACAAACCCAGGTCTCCTGGTTAAAGGTCTAGTAACTGACTAATGTGATCTTTTACAAACCCTTGTTTGATGTGTAGGGATGTTTTCTGATGAGGCAAAATGTTCTAAGTAAGAACAAACAACACTTCAGCTGTCAGGGAATTATACATGGGCACTTGTTATTGCTCAATCTCTGCTCTCTTCCTCAAGTTGTGTTTGCTAATCTTACAAAGTTATTTTCATGTGCATGGGGTTTTTTCAAGTGCTTGACCACATTCTTGTCAGATTTATACATTTTTCTTCCCAGCTTTGTAAAAAGTAGCTGGTACACAAGATGAGGTCTATTACTTACAGATATTTCCCTTAGAGTCGCGTGAAAAGAAGTTTCTTCCAGAGCTAATAATCAGTGTCAGTACATTGTCTTTGTTGTGCCAAGCTTGAAATAATGGTGAGGTACTGATGGGCTGATTAATCGGCACGAGTTTGTGTCTTAGGTCTCCAATTGTTTTTCATTCGTTTAATGTACCTGGAGACAACTATATAAATAAAACTGAATTGAATAAAAGTTTTAAATCCATCCAACTGTCCCTTAATTATTGCAGCCCCACCCCACAAATGAATACTGGGTATAAACATTTACAATTTCAAAAAAAAAAATCAAGATCTGGGCCAACTTTTGATACTTTGTTAACCATGATGTTCCCCATTATCCATTTCTCCATTAGGTTTTATTTTAAACAAGCATTGAAAACACCTCCACGCCTTCAAGTAAAACATTTTCTGATTGGACTCTTAGCATTTTACTATAACTAGCATTAAATTACAACTTTAATGTATGCTATAACTAAAATTCTGTGGCAAGATTTAGACTGCTGGAGGCCTATCAAACTTCACACAGGGGTCCAGTCCACACTGAAAGACTCCTATTTCTCACCAGTGGAGGGGCTACTGCCCTACTGTGCTCCAGAAAGCACTGTGATGAATCAATTAACTGTGTGAGAGGAGGACTCAGCAGGCAGGCAGTGAAGTGACAAGCATCTCCGCAGATTGTAGGTCCTGCCATCATCACTAGAGGAGACTGGCATCGTGTCATCAGCTTTATATTACCCAACCAGAGCTGCTTTTGTTGTGGTACGCAATTATGAAAAACTTGCACCCCTAGCACCTCTGCATGCCCCACATCCCCGACCCCTACCCTCCCATCATTTTCTCTTCTCTGACAGACCTTGGCAGGGCATGTTAAGTCCTGGCATGCCACTGCTCACAGTTAGAGCAAGAAGAAAACAACTGTGAGTGTCATGAGTAATGATGGGATTGGCTGGGGGGTTTTATCCCCTGATTACATGGTGAAAAGGAGTTGGTCAGTGGTGGTGGGAGGGGATGGTTAGATTAGAACAGGAAAACACATCCTTTAAGACCTCACTTTGATCCCATCAAATGAGCCTTGTCCCCCCCACCTATTGTATCTCGCAACCTCCCCTCACCATGGAGCCAATTTCTCAGCTCTACTAAAAAACAACCGAAAACAAGACTGTCATTGTCCTTCACTGGCTGTTTGGCTGATTTATTTGCTATGGTTCAGAGAAAAAACACATGAAGGGAACTCAGCAGAACAATATGCTTCATTAGGCTTTTTGAAGCCATACTTTCCATAAGCCTTTAGACTTGAAACCAAACCACAAATCAGACTGAATCCTATTATTTTGATCTGATGCTTAATTAATTTTTTCCCAAAAGTTCAATTCTGTTTTTCTTTTTCTTTTTTCTGTTCTAGATGCCAAGGAGTTATTCATCACAACCATAAAGGTATTCTTTCTTTGTCTCTTGTTCCTGACTAGAATGCCAAAGTCCAGCTGTGATACAAAGTCAAGTCAACAATATAAGAATTTATGCCTCTTATATACAACTTCATTGTATGTTCAGAATAGCTCTTAACTCATTCACTGCCATTGACGTCTATAGCCGTCAATTGCAGTGAATGAGTCAATGGGTTTAACTCATTCACTGCCAATGGCTGGCAGTGAATGAGTTAAATCATGTAATACATTATTTTGGAAGACTGGGAATTGATCTTACCCTTGTTGAACTTGAACAAGCAAGCTAATTATCACCAGTTGCACAGTGTCTCTTTAATAGTTTAAAACATTGTGTTCTGGTTTCAAAAACAGACATAAACACTTGTCCTTTATATCGGCAAAGTTGGGTTTTCTGTCCTAGTCGCCATAATTCTTACTGACCCACTTTACACTTCACTGTCAAGTATAAAATAAACCAAATAAACACAGTCCATATGGCATCTTCACCATTTTCATATCGAAGGAAGCTTTAAAGTCTATCTTTACATTTTCAAAGTTAGCTTATATATATATATTTTATATATATATATATTTTTTTTTTAATATATATATATATATATATTATATACACACACTCTTAACATAAGGTATTGTACAGTCTATCTGATTAAAATATGAGTAAACAGATTTTTTTTTATTAAGCAAACACAAACAAACAAAAAACAACATAGCACAGTGTCTGCCACCTTTCAAAAAATTAAAACAAAATAAAAAATTCAACAATTCCTTGCAGGCAGTCTTTATCCATCAAACAAGGGTCCTGCGCAGTAGCTTTGCTGTTCCTGGGACTGCGCTTTTCTGGACAGAGATCTTGGATGTTGTTTCTGGGATGTTCTTTAGCCAGGGCTGGACTGGTAATCTGGCATACCTGGCATTTGCCCAGTGGGCTGA